CGGGGTCAGCCCGTCTGCTCCGGGCCTCCGGGTCTGGCCAGGTCTGCGCCCTTGCGCATGCTTTCGGGGCGCCTCCTGGAAGGGCTTCAGGGTTTTACGCAGGACCGTGGAGACGGCGAGGGGAGGGATCCCAGTTTGGGATCGGGATGCAGAGGTACTTTTACCGTAGAAGAAAGCCTTTCCTTCTCCGGCTTCCCGTCCGCACTGCCCCGGGGCCACGGGGAGAAAAAAGTGCAAGTGCGGGTGTCAGCCATAGGGAGAAAGTCATTGCGTCACGGCAGGTGGGGACGAGAGGAGCTCTTGGAGCCACCTGGACCCCCAGCGATTCCTAAGACGGGCCCCTTTCTCCCGAGTGGGGGAATTTGAGGGCCCTGCCGCACTGTCTCCACCCCCGGCGCGAGCGAAAGCAGAGAGAAGGCTGGAGACGGTCACGGCTCTCCCGCGAAGGGCTGACGGAGGCGCGGGGAGGCTTCGCAGGGACCACGGCGTTCAGGGGCCCAGAAGCCTCGCTGCTTCGTTTAGAGTTACATTGTATAACATTTTAATAACCCGTTTAGTTGCGGAGAGGGGATAGGAGATCAGAAGTTTGTATCCGATTTTTAAAAAATATATCTTTATTGACCCAGAGAGAGGAAGAGAGACGGAGAGAGAGAGAGAGAAACATCAATGATGAGAGAGTCATGGATCGGCCGCCTCCTGCACGCCCCCGACTGGGGATCGAGCCCGCAACCCGGGCCTGTGCCCTGACCGGGAATCCAACCACGATCCGCGATCTCCTGGATCCTACCTAGGCTGATGCTCAACCGCTGAGCCATGCCGGCCAGGCGGTCCCCGATTTTTAAAATTCATCCAATCCTCCTCTCATCCCCCCAACAGCCCATCAAATAACTTTTCAGGTCATCCCCCCTCATAAATCTTATCAAATAAGGCTAAGGGGCAGTAGCAAAGAAGGCAGCAAGGATTTGGGCTAGAAAATCTGTGTGGGTCCACTATTGCATCATCGGGTAATAGTCCCTCTTCCCCCTTTTCAAGGTAACTTTCCTTTTATAGAGCCCATGCGCCAGTGTGCAAAGGAAGTGTTGTATTGGCAATGTCTCCGTGGCTAAGTTGGCACCAGGCTGCTCTACCTGGATCTTGCTTGGAAGGGAAAGAACTTTCTGCCTTTTGTGATGTCCAGTAGTTCTGACCATGTTTTGAAAAGGTCTAAACCTGTGCATAACCTTCACTCACCCAACTTATACTTCGTTCTGGATAACAAGGGACAGGAGAAAGGTCCCACTTAAACTTGTTTAGGTAGTAATACTTTTTAAAAATTGAGATATAAGTGACATAACATTGTATTAGTTTTAGGTGTACCACACAATGGTTTGATACATGTATATACTGTGAAATAATTACTACAGTAAGTTTAGTTACCATCCATGATTACAAATTTTTTTATTAATGTATTTATAGATGTGTAACTAACAAAAAGACTGGGGAAACAATATGGGGCTACTTTCTGCACTTTTTTTTTGGTGAAAGGGATAGTTTTTCTTCGTATAATTCACGGCTTCCAGGAGTGTATGCAGAATAATTGTTTTTTCTTTCTTTAGGATGGTATGTTAATACATCCCACTCATTGAAAACAATATGTCTTTGTCAAAATGTTTGACTTTGTAACCTGTAAAGCGGCAGTGGGGAACCTTTTTTCCGCCAAAGACCATTTGGATATTTACAAAATCATTAGGGAATGATGCAAAATTATCAACTTAAAAATCAGCCTGCTATATTTGCTGAAACATTTGATTAACTCACTCCTAATGTGATGGCTGGAACTGATTCTCTTTAGTGCCAACCTGGCAGGGCCAGACCAAATAATTTCTCCGGCCATATATGGCCCGCGGGCCTGATAGGCCCCACCCCTGCTGTAAAGACTCGAATCTTAGGATATTTATTATGACTTTTGTTAGGGATTATGAAAATTTTACTCAGCTCTTGCAGAGAGAGAAATTGGTTGAAATGTATATTTAAAATTCCACTTTATTATATATTTACAGTTTATTTATTTTGAGCTTAACTAGGGTCTTTGGGGGGGGGGTGTCTGTTTACCAAGTAAACCAGATTTCAGTTTGTAGTCATAATGATTTTTCATGTTCATAATCATGATCTTAAAGTGGACCAAAAGACCCTGAGTTGCTCTTTGAAATATCCAAGAAAACTGAAATTATGGTCAGTATAGATTTGATGTTAATTTCACTTAAAATTTTACTTGGAAATTAGATGGTAAGCACTATGTTTCTTAAAGTATTATTCAGTTATTTACAATATCTCTATTCTAAAAAGTAGTAAACATGTGAATTAAACATTACTTATTTTCTCCCTCACTCATCAGGTAGGGTTTGTTGGAAGAATTTGGCTTAAACTTCTAAATTATTTTATTTATTTATTTATTTTTCAAATATATCTTTATTGATTTCAGAGAGAGGAAAGGAGAGGGAGAGAGAGAGACAGAAACATCAATGATGAGAGAGTCATTGACCCAGGCCACAACCGGGGCATGTGCCCTGGCCAAGAATCGAACCCCGATCACCTGGATCCTAGGTCGACGCTCAACTGCTGAGCCATGCCCGGCCGGGCTCTAAATTATTTTAGAAAATGTGGACTTGGTTTTGGACTACAAGTTAATGACTCATTTATAAGAAAATTTCAGTTTTTTAAATTAAGAAAATAATACATTTAGATTTGCCTATTAATGAGGATGTAGTCTGAGCCATGAATTACTGCCACAAAAAAAAAGCCCTACATGAAAGCCACAGGAAATGAATGACTTTCATTCCCCCACCTACCTTAGGTGAGAGAAAAAAGCATGACATCATCTGAGGCTGGTAATGTCTCACCAACTGTGGTGTTTGTATGTGCAAATAAGATAATATCTGCCTCATCTAGGATACTTTAAAAAAAAAGACTTTTTTTTTTTTTAAAAAAAGGTATCTTTATTGATTTCAGAGAGAGGAAAGGAGAGGGCGAGAGGGAGAGAGAAACATCAATGAGAGAGTCATTGATCCAGCCCACAACCCGGGCATGTGCCCTGGCCAAGAATTGAACCCTGATCACCTGGATCCTAGGTTGATGCTCAACCGCTGAGCCATGCCCTGCCGGGCTCTAAATTATTTTAGGAAATGTGGACTACAAAGTTAATGACTCATTTATAAGAAAATTTCAGTTTTTTAAATTAAGAAAATAATACATTTAGATTTGCCTATTAATGAGGATGTAGTCTGAGCCATGAATTACTGCCACAAAAAAAAAGCCCTACATGAAAGCCACAGGAAATGAATGACTTTCATTCCCCCACCTACCTTAGGTGAGAGAAAAAAGCATGACATCATCTGAGGCTGGTAATGTCTCACCAACTGTGGTGTTTGTATGTGCAAATAAGATAATATCTGCCTCACCTAGGATACTTTAAAAAAAAGACTTTTTTAAAAAAATATATCTTTATTGATTTCAGAGAGAGGAAAGGAGAGGGAGAGAAAGAGTCAGAAATATCAATGAGAGAGTCATTGATCGGCTGCAGCCCGCAACCTGGGCATGTGCCCTGGCCAAGAATTGAACCCTGATCACCTGGATCCTAGGTTGATGCTCAACCGCTGAGCCATGCCCTGCCGGGCTCTAAATTATTTTAGGAAATGTGGACTACAAAGTTAATGACTCATTTATAAGAAAATTTCAGTTTTTTAAATTAAGAAAATAATACATTTAGATTTGCCTATTAATGAGGATGTAGTCTGAGCCATGAATTACTGCCACAAAAAAAAAGCCCTACATGAAAGCCACAGGAAATGAATGACTTTCATTCCCCCACCTACCTTAGGTGAGAGAAAAAAGCATGACATCATCTGAGGCTGGTAATGTCTCACCAACTGTGGTGTTTGTATGTGCAAATAAGATAATATCTGCCTCATCTAGGATACTTTAAAAAAAAGACTTTTTAAAAAAAATATATCTTTATTGATTTCAGAGAGAGGAAAGGAGAGGGAGAGAAAGAGTCAGAAATATCAATGAGAGAGTCATTGATCGGCTGCAGCCCGCAACCTGGGCATGTGCCCTGGCCAAGAATTGAACCCTGATCACCTGGATCCTAGGTTGATGCTCAACCGCTGAGCCATGCCCTGCCGGGCTCTAAATTATTTTAGGAAATGTGGACTACAAAGTTAATGACTCATTTATAAGAAAATTTCAGTTTTTTAAATTAAGAAAATAATACATTTAGATTTGCCTATTAATGAGGATGTAGTCTGAGCCATGAATTACTGCCACAAAAAAATAAGCCCTACATGAAAACCACAGAAAATGAATGACTTTCATTCCCCCACCTACCTTAGGTGAGAGAAAAAAGCATGACATCATCTGAGGCTGGTAATGTCTCACCAACTGTGGTGTTTGTATGTGCAAATAAGATAATATCTGCCTCATCTAGGATACTTTAAAAAAAAAGACTTTTTTTTTTTTTAAAAAAAGGTATCTTTATTGATTTCAGAGAGAGGAAAGGAGAGGGCGAGAGGGAGAGAGAAACATCAATGAGAGAGTCATTGATCCAGCCCACAACCCGGGCATGTGCCCTGGCCAAGAATTGAACCCTGATCACCTGGATCCTAGGTTGACGCTCAACCGCTGAGCCACGCCCTGCCCGGCTCTAAATTATTTTAGAAAATGTGGACTACAAGTTAATGACTCCTTTATAAGAAAATTGCAGTTTTTTAAATTAAGAAAATAATACATTTAGATTTGCCTATTAATGAGGGTATAGTCTGAGCCATGAATTATTGCCACAAAAAAATAAGCCCTACATGAAAACCACAGAAAATGAATGACTTTCATTCCTCCCACCTACCTTAGGTGAGAGAAAAAAGCATGACATCATCTGAGGCTGGTAATGTCTCACCAACTGTGGTGTTTGTATGTGCAAATAAGATAATATCTGCCTCATCTAGGATACTTTAAAAAAAAGACTTAAAGTAAATGTCTTTGTTCAGTTTTTTTGTTTGTGAGTCACGATGTGTTTGTATACGTTGTGTGCGTGTGTGTGTGTGTGTTCCATCTCACACTCAGAAGACACACTTGCGTGGAGCTAAGGTTCAGAGAAACCCTTCACGGGATAAATACTCAATTTGTCACTCTTGCTGGCTGTGGTTTGGAATGCTGTCAACTTAATTTTGACGGTTTTGCTTTCCTTTTCAGAGGTCGAGGCCGAGTGCGCCCTTCAATTGAAGAGAATTGGAGACAGACTAAGTTTCCACCAGAAACTTCTGAATCTGCTGTCTAAGCTCTACCACTCGGGAACCTGACTGCCGAGGAGGCCGTCTAAGGAGGAGGCTCCTTTGGAGCTGGGTCACCGCATTTCATCAGTTAGTGGCGAGGCTGCCTTGCCCTGGGCATGGGTGTGAAGGAACTCTCACTTGCTTTGGGGTGTCCTTCGCTTTGGGATGTCCTTTGGAAATGAAGATGGAATACATCACCGTGAATTTCTGCGGGAGGTTTCCCAGAAGTCATTCTTTGGGATGTCAGAACATTATAAAACTGCTTCCTTTATTTTAAAGCAAGAATTGAAGAGCTTTGGAAATAAGGAATGAATTATTTATACCTTTCTGTTTTTGCTTAGAGAATTGCTCTCGTGTTTTTGCTGAAGGTCAACGACCAGCCTAGTGTAAGAAGAGTTGATAAATGATTAGAATGTGGGCAGAGGTCAAGAAGCAGAATATGTTCAGTGTTTATTTCTACTTAGAATGACAACTTCAGAACAATGTATAATGTTTGGTTTATATATATTATCTTGTTAAAAGTAAAAATTTCATTCCGAGAACACTGAATGTCATAGTGAATATTGATTTCATAGGTCACTACAAAATATAAAATAATTTGATAATTTGTGTGTTTTTTTTGACTTAAAAGGTATTACTTCTGTTCAGATGACTTTTCATTAAATGTGTTCCCGTGGGCCTTAACTGGGATGTATGGAATTTGGGAAAATTTGATCAAATTATGAGAGTGTTACTTGGTGCCAGTAAAATACTTATAGGTTGAATGTTAAAAGACAAAAAGCATAGGGATTTTGAGTAACCAGGGATATTAGGGAAAAAAATGAATTTGACTTTTTACTGCTGTAATTAAAACTTAGTAAAGCAAAAAACTGAAAGTAACAGTTTATAAGAAAATGAATGTTTCTAAAGAAGTTTCTAAAATCTGTAAAATGCCCTTTTCCATACTAGTCAGTGTGTATTCTATAAGAAGTTATCTTTTAACAGAAATTATGTCTGTTTTCATAATTAGGATATACTTTATAAGTTAATTTTTTATTTTTAAATAACAGTTTACATTCAATATTATTTTATGTTAGTTTCAGGTATATGGGATATACTTTTTTTTTTTTTAAAAAAAAAGAGGAATAGATTGCTAATTCAGAATGAAAATCCCATGGGATTTTCATTCTGGGTGATATATATATAATTTTCATTAAAATAATATGTAGATTCTGAGAAAGCTTTCATGTATTTCATTTCTCAAAAAAGATCAGGCTATGAATAAAGTCCCCAAATATATATGAAAATGTCATGATTGAATTTCAGCAAGAATAATCTTATTTATTTTACCTATTTATAATTAAAATATTTTTTGTTTAAAAATTTACATTAGTTAAAGTTACAGTTTCAGGTTATGAGACAAGGTTTTATTTTTATTTTATTTTATTTTACTTTATTTTTTACAAGGGTTTTATAATTACTTGAACTCATACAGTAAGAATATTTTAACATAGGCCAGTGATTTTCAACCTTTTCCATCTCATGGCACACATAAGTACTAAAGTTCTGCGGCACACCAAAAAAACTTTTTTTTTTAGTTGATATGACCAAAAAAAAAAAAAAAAGATAATTTTGACTTATTCACACCAGATGCCTGTTGCTATGTTGGCTATTGTCATTTTTTTATTCGACAATCTAAGGGGAAAAGGGTCAGTGCCCTTGACTAAATAGTCAGGTATTTGATGTTTTAAAAATTCGTGCGGCACGTGGTTGAAAATCGCTGATGTAGGATATAGTCACTTTATATTAAAAAAAAAATACCTCAGTATCTACTTTTCTCCAGTATTATTTACGGCTATTAGTTAATTTAGTTGTAAAGATATTTTGTGTGTATCTGCCTAGCAGCAGATCTATTTTGCCATATGGATATTTATGGTCTGTAATTGTATTTATACATGTATATACACATATAAAAGTGGATACTGTAGCTGTAAAGCATTAAAAATGGATACTTTTCTGTGTTTTTTGGTGTTTTTTTTGTTTGTTTGTTTTGTCATGTAAGCCACTGGGTGTTCATTACATAACCAAAATATTGTATTTTAACAAACTTTCATCAGCAGGCACCTTTTGATGGAACTGTCCCTTCCTGTCCGATTCTGTGGTAGGAATAGACAAGACGGGGGGATATGGCATGATTTTTGCTGTCCAGAGACTTACACTTTAATTGGGATAGAAAAATATTGAAAAACAGGAAATTAATGCCAGGCCTTGAGTGCCTGACATTAATGCCCGGAGAGTGGTTTCTATAGAGTAGCCTACAGAAATTCAGGATTTAATCAGAGGTATGATGAGCCTTGAATGTTTTCGAGCCTGCCAGGTTAAGAGGAACTTCTGTGCAGTTTGCTTTTAAGTGACCTCAAAGCTTTCCCCCGCCCCCGCCCTGAGCCGTGAGTATTGCTTCATCAGATAACAGTCATGTGCAGAAGTAGCTGCAACTGAGTGGCCTTCCTGTTTGAGTGTGAGAACAGAAAAGATACCCCCAGTTTGTAGCTTTGATCTAGGAACCACCTTTCTCCCCACCTCCCCAAGCTCCTACCCTCCGCCCCTCAAAAGTCTGCTGAAATCATGGAAAGTAAACCGTCTCCCTTAGGTGCGAGGGAGAGAGAACCAGTGGCAAGGGGACAGTGACAAGGAGAGACGGCAGCCAGAGAAGGGGGGTGAAGGCGGGGATGACAGCCGGGCAGAAGGCGATAGAAACCGAGAGCACCGGCGCCCGGGAGGAAGGACTTTGTAATGCAGGAGCCGGCTGATTGGCTTCATAAAAGGTGGGGTCAATCTGCATTTGATTTGAAGGTCGGGTTAGGGGAACTCCAGTCCCTAAGCCTCTTTGCATAGCCCGAATGGAAGTTGGTGTTAATTAGTTTTGCTAAAAGGGTTTTTTTTTGTGTGTGTAATGTAAGGAGTTACACAGGAAGGCTTAGACGTAATTCACAGGCTTTAGGTATGAGAACTAGATAATTTGATAACCATACTTTAATGCCAAATGATTTCCAACATATCCACGTAACTGTAATTGTATCTGATGACTGATGAAAAGTTTCTAGGAATTAAAAAATACTTCTTGGGCATGTAAGTATCTTCTTGGAAATGAGACTTATCCATGCATTCTGGCTTCCCTGACGGCATGTCACTCACTCTCTATATATATGAAGCTGAAAATAAAAACGGGTCACCTGACAGAGCACATCCAATTGTGTAATAACTTGAGTGTCTTCATGTCGTAGGTCATGGTCCAAGAATAAACCTTTGTCAGTACAATCCAGGTGCTAATTTAGCTTCTCTCTTAAGGATTTTCAGAAATCAGTTTAGCAAATTCAAGTGAAACAGTCACACCTAGCATCTTCTTCCAAAGTGGCAACTTTTTAGAACACCAGAAACATGAGAGAATTGGTAAGAGTTACAAGTAGAGATTTAGGATTGATTCCTTTACTTAGTAAGCCTGGGTGTCACACTACCCCCTAGTGACCTGAAACTGCACAGTGCATAGAGCCTGGGCTTGGGTTTGGGTTGAAAGGAGAATGTGTCTGGTATTTCCTGTGTTTTAGTAAAAGGCTCCCCTTCTTGTGTTTTTGTAAAAGGCTCCCCTGCTGTCCCACTAATGATCCCTAATGGAGCTTATGAGATCTACCTATTTCCAATTTCACATCTATTTTCCAAAATGTAAAGTTCCTTTCCCCACAGTTGCCATCGGCTTTTGACTTTCAGATCCACCAGCTGCTTTTCCATTTGTTCTTGGGAGACTCGGGTAAGTTACTTGATCTCTGCTTTCTTATAAAACAGTGTCAAATATACTTACTTCAAACCATCCTGAGAATCAAAGGAGGTGAGACTGTGCCTGGTGTCTGGCCCACAGTCGTGCTCAGTAAATATCAGCTAACTTTCCCTTCAAGATGGAGAGTGCAAACTCAGAGTGAAACAGTCACACCCCCTACCATCTTCTTCCAAAGTGGTGGGTGCTTCCTTGCAAAGCTACGGAAGGCCTTGCCCAATTAAGAGTAGTAGATGAAAATGAAATCTTTTGAAGGAAGGCAGTTGGGCAGTGTTGGGGCTGGAGAGGAAGTGGCAGTTTTCCCTTGATGAGGCCATCTGTTTTTAATTTGTAACCTCTTAATGACGGTAAAACATTTATTTTCGCCCCCATACATAGTAGATTTCATGACTATTGAATTGCCTGAAGCCCCTAGTATATTCACATAAAAATTTGGGACTTGATTTATACGATGCCGCCTCAAGATGTAGGAAGAAGTTATTTTGGTGGGGCTGTGTCAGCAGGGAGTCCTGAAGGGCTGGGGGTGGGGGCTGTCCCTTGAGATGAAACTGAAGATGTGTTAATTTGGACAACCAAGTTCAAATCCTGACTGCTTTAGGGGACTTAGTTGCATCACTCACAGGGTTTCCATAGGGCCATCTTAAGTCTGTATTCATGGGGACCAGACTTCCACAAGATAAATACAACTCATCAATGCCTCCGATGTGCCAGGTATTTTAGAAACACAGTTTTATTACTTCATCGAGTGCTCATAACACTTCTGTTTGGAAAACTCACTATCCTTCTCGCTATATGGTAGAATAAATCTGCTCAGACGATCAGCAATTTCCCTCGATGTCAACTGGCAAATGAATGGAAGATGCAGGATTTGAACCCATGACTTTCTGACTCAAAGCTGTCTTCTCCAGCCGCCCAGGACACAAGTGCCTCCCACATGGGATAGGAGGGGCCCCACCCCAGAACGAAGCTGGCTGTTTTCCAGCCCGGGGAGCCATAAAATAAGAGCCAAGTTTTATACCACTGGGTTTTCTGAGAGTGGAAGGTTGATAATTAAACAGGCCGATACGGGAAAAACCCTGAGCAGTGCAGTTTCAGTTTGAATTTCCCTTCCACAGCTCTGCCCCTTTCCAGCCCCCAGTGGAGCGGAGCCTCTGGCAACGGCCTCAGGTTATTCCAACCTCGAGCCCTCGGGGAAGGTGAGGGTCCCATTTCGGAGGGGATTTTGTGCTGGAGGAGTCCAGAATTAATGCAGAACCGCACGCTCCCCGCCGGCTCCCTTTTCCCCAGCCAAGCCACCAGGGCACCTACTGGAAGGACCTGAGGGACCTATTTGTCCTGGGAAAGAGGGACTCAGGGAGCCTGTCAAAACAGCAATCTGTGTGTTTAGTGGGCTGCCCGGGATCCGCTTTATTTCAGTAAAGCCAAGTAGAGATTAGGAAGGAAGAAGAAATTGTTGCCACTGCCATTTTTTTTTTTTTTAAGCCAAACAATAGAAAACATCTCAATTAACCAGTCTGCATTCCTGATGATTCATTTGCACAAGAGTTAGAGGAGGGGCGGGGAGCAGCGGGTGGTTGTTTCGATTATGAAATTCTCCCCATCTTCAGGAAACCTGCACATTTATCAGCTCATCAGAAAGCAGAGGGGGACGAAAATCCCCGTTAGCTCATTGTAAAAAAACAAAAAACAACAACAAAAAGACACAACACAATGCAGCACCTGCAAGGGCGTGAGAAAACGGCTTTTCCTCCTTGGACGATTTTTTACTGGTGTCACATCAAAAGGAACAGGTTTCCG